ATCAAATTAGTTGAATATAAAGGCAAATGTTTACTTCTAAGGCTCTTCAATTCAAAAATCGGAGCCTCAGCAGACTAGTAACTGTCAACATTTAAAATGATACCGACATAAATAAATGTTTTCTTTTACAATGGGTAGCCGATGGGTAGTTAATAACATCAGGTATGCCGATGATACAGCCATAGTGGCAGATAACATCGAAGATCTTCAATGCCTTTTAAATGATCTAACTCTTGCAAGTGAAGCTCGGGGTTTGAAAATAAATATCAAGAAGACAAAATCAATGATTATAAGTAGAAATGATTACCCCAACGCAAAGATATATATCTCTGGAGAAAAAATCGAACAAGTCAGGCAATTCAAATACTTGGGATGTTTGTTGAATGAGGGTTGGGACCCCGAGAATGAAATAAAGAGCAGAGTTGAACAAGCCAGAAATGCTTTTTTGAGGCTTCGTAAGTTTCTGACTGATCGCAAATTGGACTTCAACCTCCGATACAAGATGCTTAAGTGTTACGTGTGACCTGTTCTCCTGTACGGAATGGAAGCATGGACGTTAAAGGCCAGTTGCATTAACAAACTTGAAGTGTTTGAAATGTGGTGCCTGCGTCGAATGCTCAGAATATCATGGACGGACAGGGTCAGAAATGAGGAAGTACTCAGAAGAGCGGGCTTACAGGATAGGGAACTTTTTAATTATGTAAAAAGTAAGAAGACTGCATACTTGGGACACATAATACGAGGAGAACGATACACTTTTCAGCAACTGATACTCGAAGGGAAGATAGAGGGTAGGAGAGGTCTCGGACGTAAAAAAATGTCATGGCTGTGCAATATACGACAATGGACAGGAATCCACAGCTATGAAATGCTTCGCAATGCTGCTAAAAACAGAATTATTTAATCCAGAATATTTAACATCTCGCCTGACAAGACGATGTACGGTGGACGCCTACGCAGAAATGCACGGCACCTTAAGAAGAAGACAATGGGTAGGATGCTAACCTGGCCCATCAACCCGGGCCTTTTATCCGCACTTGGGACCGACTGTCGGTATGAACGCGGCTGTGAGCATGGATCCACCCAGTCCTCGCACTTATAATAACAAGGATTTAGATCCGGAAGGTCCTGCGTAGACGCCGTATTTTTACTAAGACAAATCACAGAAAAGGCCATCAAGTACAATAAATTTGCATATCTATGGGGAATAGATATAACTGGTACGGATATGTTGAAGAAGTACGACAACAAAGCTTAAAATCAAGTAAAGTGGTGGGATCTCAATGACACAATCTGGAAGAACAAACACCTAAGACAAGATACAAAAACAAGAATCTATAAAACAGCATTTAGACCTGTATTAACATACACGGCGGAGTTAAGATCTGACACATCTAAAACGAGACGACTAGTAGAAACAACAATGATGAAAATACTCAGACGAATATCAGAGAAAAGTTGGATAGGAAGAGAAGGCCAAACATAACAAGAACATAAAATATAAAAGACATAAATGGATGGGTGACAAAAAGGAAACAGGACTGGAACGACCATATTAGTAGAATGGCAGAGGATAGAATAGAATAGCACGAGACAAGTCACCAAATGCACGAAGAAGTATTGACAGACCAAGAAAAAGTTGGTGCGATATTTTAACAATTTAGCAAGCCAATATTAAAGAAGAAACAGACTTTTAAGGCTACATACAAGAAGGAAGAAGAAGAAGAAGAAGAAGAAGAAGAAGAAAAAGAAGAGAATTCAAAATAAAATAGAAGAACAATTAGGCGAAACGCAGTTTAATTTTAGAAATAACTAAAGCAAAAAAAAGACTTCAGTTTGCAGGTTATGGTTCAAAGATGTAAGGATGGTAAGGTAAGGAACAACTACTGGTCTTCATTCGTTCTATTAGCTAGAGCATCTGTATTTAATAGCAAAACACTTCAAATTAAAAATTTCTAAAATTTTAAAAAATTTCAAAATTTCAGATTAATACAATGCTATATATTCTCAACATTGCTGTATGCTGTAAGAATATTATGAATTAGTTGGGTAAACCGAATAAAAATGAATAAATATTATTCCGAATGCAACATACAGAAAGAAACAAAAAAACAATATTTCGACTAGCTTATATCTAGAGAAATTTAACTTTATATATCTCATAATACAGAACCATATCGCCAGAAGAAGGGGACCAGTTTAAAGAAGAACATCCTAGCCTAGCTTCAAAATCTCCGAAACTATAGTGTATTTTTATGTATGAGAGAGTAATAAAACAATAAATTATGTATGCAAATCCCTAAACTGTTGATACGGGTGACTCAATGAAAAACAGATATTTGTCAACAAGTTTACAGAAGTATATAGGAAAACAATTTTAAATTGAGTATGACCACCAGGTATAAAGGTTGGAGCAGAATAGAATACAATACTTGTGAGGGTTACTAATCCCTAAATAAGGTTGCCAGTGTCGGAGTGATGGAGGTTAACAGGTACTAATGAATTTGCAAGAAATATAAGATGTTTATTTTATTGGTTATATATAACCAATAAAAGTTTAATAAGTACCTACCTATTTGCAAAATAAAGTTTAATTCTTTAGATAAAATAAAACGTTTTATTTTATCTGAAATGAGTGCATTCCACGAAGTAAGGGTTTCAACAATCAAACATTTAATTCTTTAATTCCAGGAATCTACGACAGTAATTGACTAGATAATTACCTTCTAAACTTATTCCACAGAAAATGTGATAGTGGGTTTTTCCATTTTGTAGGAAGGTCCAAGTGGCGTATTCAAAATTCTTAACAGTTGACTAAACGTAGGTACTTCAGTTGCAAGGTGCAGTTTATTGTGTATACTAGTGTTATGGAAAATTTGGAAGAGCCGTGTAAACGCCGAAAAATTGGTCCTTTAACAGTTAATGAAAAAACATTAATATTTAATTGTTTTAAATCATTTACAGACAAACGTTTATGTGAAAGTGTTGATGAGACCGTTGAGTTGGTTAGCAGTACACTTGGTGTTGGGAAATCTACGATTTACAGAGTTATTAAAGAAGAGAAATGTGGTAGTTTTCAAATGCCACGTAATGCTCCAGGGAAACCAAAATTTCAAATAGAATATCATTTTAAAGAAGGACTTCGACGGAAAGTGCATAAATTCTTCTTTAGACAAGAATTTCCAACATTGGATAAAGTTCTTGTCTCAGTTCGAGATGATAAGGATTACCCAGAAATGAGTCGAAGTACGTTATGGAAACTTTTAAAAGAAATAGGCTTCCGCTGGAAAAAGAATCCCAGAAAGTCTATTTTATTAGAAAGAACGATATTGTCATATGGAGAAGACATTTTCTAAGAACCATAAAGAAAATGAGAAACCAAAAAGAAAAATATTTTATCTTGATGAAACATGGATCAACGAGGGTCATACACCAAATAAATTTTGGCAGGATGAAACTGTTACAAGTCAAAGGCACGCTTTTGTAAATAACTTATCTACTGGTTTAAACCCACCATCAGGAAAGGGACGCAGGCTGATAATAGTACACATTGGCAGTTCAGACGGTTTTGTTGAAGGTGGTTTATTAACTTTTGAATCAACTCGTACCGGTGTCTACCATGAAGACATGAACGCTGATGTCTTTCAAGAATGGTTCGAACAAATGATAGATCTTCTTCCTAAGAACTGTGTAATAGTAATGGATAATGCAAGTTATCACTCCAAAAATTTAAAAAATACGAAATTGATGAAATTGACAAGAATTGTGGAATGACAGTACTTAGATCCCCACCATATCATTGTGAATTAAACCCGATTGAACTGGTATGGGCACAGATAAAGAGTGAAGTTTCAAGAAAAAATACCACTGTTAAAATTCGTGATGTTAAACAGTTGTTTTTGGAGTCCGTAAATAATGTAAAACCTGAAAACTGGGAAAAGGCAGTAAATCATACTATTAAAGAAGAGGAAAAAATGTGGAAGCTGGACAATATTACTGATAAAATGATCGAGCCAGTTATTCTAAATCTTGGTTCTGAAAGTTCATCTTCTGAATCTGATTTGGATTTGTAAGAAGTAGCTGTAAGTTTTATATTAATATTTTTATTCATCTATTTAACATACCTTAGACGGTTTTAAAAACTCTTTTTCTCTTTTGTAATTTTTAAAAATTTAAAAAAATGTGAATTTTTTAAAACCCTTTTTAATGTAGGCCAGTCAGTTCTAATATAGTGTGTGATAAAAGAGGTCACTTTTGTTTACATACACATAACACTTTATAACACTGAAATAATTCATTTATTTTTTACAATTATTCAAAGTAATTTTTCAATTAATCTTGAGCACGCCCATGGAGTGGTCGGAGATATCAGTTAAAATTATGCTAATTACTCTCTCGTTCATAAAAATAAACTATAGCCAACGTTGGATAACCGAAGACGGCACTAGAAAAGAAGTAGAATAAAAACGAAGGTGAATAAATACGAAATCTAGTAAATAAAGGTAAAAAGTACAAGTACGATTACAATTACAAACCAGACAAACGAATTGGCTTTGTGGTAAAAGGTACCAACTATTGATAGAAAGCATGGTAATAATCATCAAAATTTGCAAAACAACAGTGATTTGCAGAACAATCAAATACCAAAATTCTGCAAACATACACATCGAAAATATTAAGAATCATAGCGCAAATACGCCTTGATACATTTAAAAACCAATACTTTACAGTTAGAATTGACCTTCATAAAAAATATAATATGACAACACTAATAGCAATGAGCTTATTGTAAGCTTATCATCCACAATTCAGGATTTACAAAACAGTGTCCAAGACACGCAGATAAGCCAAAGCCAAGATACCGATGAACCGATTCTGATCAGCAGCAACTTCACCGAATTTATCAATTTAACTTAATACTCCTTTGTACGTATATATAGGGGAGATTATAAACAGGTGTCATTAAAAAAGTCCAATGATATGGTAGTACATGTACTTACGCAAAACTCAGAAGGGAAAAAATATTAGCAGTTTCTCTGGGATTTCTTTGTCTTCGAATTTTATCACCGGTATCCATCTTTAGAAACACGTCAAATGTTATCGGCCACAGAGAAAAAATATATTATATTATAACTGGCTTTATCTTATCAACAAATGAATTGAATTCTTATATTGTTTGTAAGATGTTAAATATTTGAAGCATTTATTCTTTAGACCATAAAATAAAAAAGTAAATACGAACAAAACTATACAATATTGTTATTCGGCTTCTGGATTTTGCTAAACGAAGTTGAAGCGTTTACAACAAATGTATTTTATTGTAGGATAAATTTTCCTGCAATAAAAATATTCTCAATTATTCATTTATTTACTTACTATTGGATTCGTGTGAAAGTCGAAGAAGCACCAATATTATACAATGTTTATTAAGTCAATACGAATGAAATACGAAACTGGTGTCACGTCTTCTAAAAATACATTGCATAAAGTTTTTCCTATTGTTTTTCTAACATTAGATTTGTTTAACTACGTGCTCCTCTTCGATTCCTTGTTTTATTTTCTTTTCTTGATTGTTGTTTTGAAAATTCTTATGATTTAATTTTTATTTCATGTAGGTATAAACTACATTGCTCTGCTCTCAAATCTTATAGTTAAAGTTAAAATAACTTTCAAATAAAAATAAAAAACAGCAGGGTGAAATTTTAAGATCATATTCTAAGGTAGGTCTTAAAGAAAAAAAACTGTTTCTAATAATTGTATTTTTTTTTTTTTTCGAAAATATGTGTCTCGACAGCTAATAGTCATTGACACAGGTACAATTTACATCCTTGTTTACATGGATAATACTTTAGATTGGGTACAAATTATAGTGTATTTTTATGTATGAGAGAGTAATAAAACAATAAATTATGTATGCAAATCCCTAAACTGTTGATACGGGTGACTCAATGAAAAACAGATATTTGTTAACAAGTTTACAGAAGTATATAGGAAAACAATTTTAAATTGAGTATGACCACCAGGTATAAAGGTTGGAGCAGAATAGAATACAATAGTTGTGAGGGTTACTAATCCCTAAATAAGGTTGCCAGTGTCGGAGTGATGGAGGTTAACAGGTACTAATGAATTTGCAAGAAATGTAAGATGTTTATTTTATTGGTTATATATAACCAATAAAAGTTTAATAAGTACCTACCTATTTGCAAAATAAAGTTTAATTCTTTAGATAAAATAAAACGTTTTATTTTATCTGAAATGAGTGCATTCCACGAAGTAAGGGTTTCAACAATCAAACATTTAATTCTTTAATTCCAGGAATCTACGACAGTAATTGACTAGATAATTACCTTCTAAACTTATTCCACAGAAAATGTGGTAGTGGGTTTTTCCATTTTGTAGGAAGGTCCAAGTGGCGTATTCAAAATTCTTAACAAACAGTTCACTAAAAGTATGTACTTCAGTTGCAAGGTGCAGTTTATTGTGTATACTAGTGCTATGGAAAATTTGGAAGTGCCGTGTAAACGCCGAAAAATTGGTCCTTTAACAGTTAATGAAAACACCTTAATATTTAATTGTTTTAAATCGTTTACAGACAAACGTTTATGTGAAAGTGTTGATGAGACCGTTGAGTTAGTTAGCAGTACACTTGGTGTTGGGAAATCTACGATTTACAGAGTTATTAAAGAAGAGAAATGTGGTAGTTTTCAAATGCCACGTAATGCTCCAGGGAAACCAAAATTTCAAATAGAATATCATTTTAAAGAAGGACTTCGACGGATAGTGCATGAATTCTTCTTTAGACAAGAATTTCCAACATTGGATAAAGTTCTTGTCTCAGTTCGAGATGATAAGGATTACCCAGAAATGAGTCGAAGTACGTTATGGAAACTTTTAAAACAAATAGGCTTCCGCTGGAAAAAGAATCCCAGAAAGTCTATTTTATTAGAAAGAAGCGATATTGTCATATGGAGAAGACATTTTCTAAGAACCATAAAGGAAATGAGAAACCAAAAAAGAAAAATATTTTATCTTGATGAAACATGGATCAACGAGGGTCATACACCAAATAAATTTTGGCAGGATGAAACTGTTACAAGTCAAAGGCACGCTTTTGTAAATAACTTATCTACTGGTTTAAACCCACCATCAGGAAAGGGACGCAGGCTGATAATAGTACACATTGGCAGTTCAGACGGTTTTGTTGAAGGTGGTTTATTAACTTTTGAATCAACTCATACCGGTGACTACCATGAAGACATGAACGCTGATGTCTTTCAAGAATGGTTCGAACAAATGATAGATCTTCTTCCTAAGAACTGTGTAATAGTAATGGATAATGCAAGTTATCACTCCAGACTTATAGAAGGACTGCCCACAACCAAGTGGTTAAAAAAAGACTTGCAGAATTGGCTGAGTTCAATAAATATTACGTACCATCCCGGATCTATAAGAAAGGAACTTTATTCGTTGTGTGCCCTTCATAAAGAAAAATTTTAAAAATACGAAATTGATAAAATTGCCAAAAATCGTGGAATGACAGTACTTAGATCCCCACCATATCATTGTGAATTAAACCCGATTGAACTGGTATGGGCACAGATAAAGAGTGAAGTTTCAAGAAAAAATACCACTTTTAAAATTCATGATGTTAATCAGTTGTTTTTGGAGGCCGTAAATAATGTAAAACCTGAAAACTGGGAAAAGGCAGTAAATCACAGTATTAAAGAAGAGGAAAAAATGTGGAAGCTGGACAATATTACTGATAAAATGATCGAGCCAGTTATTATAAATCTTGGTTCTGAAAGTTCATCTTCTGAATCTGATTTGGATTTGTAACAAGTAGCTGTAAGTTTTATATTAATATTTTTATTCATCTATTTAACATACCTTAGACGGTTTTAAAAACTCTTTTTCTCTTTTGTAATTTTTAAAAATTAAAAAAAATGTGAATTTTTTAAAACCCTTTTTAATGTAGGCCAGTCAGTTCTAATATAGTGTGTGATAAAAGAGGTCACTTTTGTTTACATACACATAACACTTTATAACACTGAAATAATTCATTTATTTTTTACAGTTATTCAAAGTAATTTTAAATTAATCTTGAGCACGCCCATGGAGTGGTCGGAGGTACCAGTTAAAATTATGCTAATTACTCTCTCGTTCATAAAAATAAACTATAGTTACAATACATTTTTTATAATACATTTTGTTTTAAATTAAATTGTATAACTTTCAAAAAAAAAATTTGTGTTATAAGTAACTGTGTTTTTTAAAAAGTTTAATACATTTTCATAGTTGCTGCTGTTTGAGATAAGTATGCCTTTTAGGTTGTTACCAAGATTAGGTATATTTTCTTCTGGCCACTAGGTAGTGTTGACAGTCAAAAAGTACATGTGTTACGGAAGTCGTGGAGTTGTAGTACTGGCACAAAATCGGATTACTGGAATTCATTAGGTGTCCATGTGTAAGGCGTGTGTGCCCTATTCTCAATCTTCGAATGATAGATTTGTCCTTTCTTTTCATTAGTGAGAGCTGGTGGTAGAAAATGTTTGGTTGTAGAACGCTTAACTTGGTATTGCTTCTTTTCCAATGATCATTCCAAAGTTTCATTATTTTATGTTTGCCATTCTAGGATAATTAGTAACTGATAATTGTCTATTACAGATGAGATTTCTTGTGGGATTTTTGCGATTTGCTTAAACTATAGCGAAATAGAACAGTAGAAGTTGTTGTCGTCTTATTTGAAGCGAAGATTCGAAGCAATCTACATGAATACTTTCCACCGGACTGGATCGGAATGCTCCTAAACAGAGTCGAAAGAAATTATTTTGGACCACATTTAGTGAACGTAGTAGTGATTTACTTGATGACATGTAGAGAATACTAGTACAGTCAAGTTTGGAGTGAATAAGAGCTCGATATATTTTAAGTAATGTTTCCATCATCGGCTCCCCAACTATAATGAGCTAGTGATTTAAGGAGATTCATTCTTTGAAGGCAGCTACCCTTAAGTTCTCGAATGTGTTGTCTCCAGGAAAGTTTTTTATCGAAAATAATGCTGAGAAGCTTTATTTGGTCCACTACTTGGAGAAAATTTCCATTCAGAGTAATGGTTGGAGATTGCGTGTTTTGTCTTCTGGTAAAATGAATAACTTTGGATTTGGATGGGGAGAAGTTAAGGTCGGATTGACTGGCCCAGTTGTTTATTTTACTTAGCGTGTTTTGTATTAAAGTGTTTGTGCTACATGTGACCTTTCCATTAAATAATAATATTATGTCGTCGGCATATATTCTAAGAACTTAATACTAAGGAGAATAAACAACGTGGTTGTGTGTTGTGAGGAAGTTTTGTCATTAGTAATTATTTTAAAGGATCGCCCTGTGAGAAATTTTTTTATAAACGAATATTTACCAGATAGCTTGTTCTGGTGTAGTTTGTTTAGTATCACAGAAATCGGTATAGAGTCAAAAGCGCTTTCGATGTCAAGGGAGATTGCAATGACTTCATTTTTGTTAGATAGCGCAGTCGCAATTGTTGATTGCAGAAGTACAAGATTGTCCATGGTGCATCGATTTGGTCTGAAGCCTGATTGAAATTGGTCGAGGATTTTATTTTGTTCAAGGTACCAAAGTTATCTTTAATTAACCATTTTTTCTAGAAGTTTACATTACAGACCACTAGGTGATTTGTGGTTTACATAATGTACAGGTGACAGATATTGATCGCCTTTTTTTATAGGAATCGTTAGAAATTGTTTCCATAGTGACAGGAATTTTTGGAAAGACCAAATGTTGTTGAACAGTTGGAGTATTTTCTCCTATGTATTTTGGTGAAGGTTTTTTAAAAGGATAAGTGGAGGAAATATCGACAGGGCCTTCAGCTGAGCTGTTTGTCGAAAAAATCGCATCGTTTAGTTCTTGGAAACTGAAAGGTATATTAATGGGATGATTAGTATTGCAAGTTTTTTGAGTAGCACCAATTTCGTTATGTGGATTAGTAGGTATAAATATTTGATTTAGTGAGAAAGTGTTGGCAAAGTATATCACTGATTTGTTGATCATCTCTGTAATTATTTT